ATATCATAAAGTCCTCACAAAATGACGGTGAAATCCTGGGTAGTGTCTTATCTACAAACCCATCTGCCTTCCAAAATTTACCCCGGAATTTAGTTCGTTAAAACTCCCCCCTGAAGAAAGAAAAGCAAAATCAACGGTCAGGCGGAGGCCGGGGCCTAATTTTCGGAGCCTACACACACACATACACACACAAACACAGATAATTGTTCATTAGCTCTTCTTTTATTAGTCAGTCAAGCCAAACCTCATTTGCCGGTTCTCTCTCTCTTGATCTCACACCCCCTCAGTTCATCTATGCTCTCCTCATCTCTTATTATCTTAAAAGGGATTAAACCATTTAGTTTTTTTTTTTCTTCCAGCGGCATCGACATAACCTTGTTTTATCATCGTTTGATTTCATAGCATAAGGGTTACTGAATATATACTTCTTCTTCAAAAATTCTATTCGAGATTGATGATTCTACATCCATTTCATGCATTATCCACTTATTTTGAGTTGCAAGAGAAATGGTTAGTCTGAAATTCTTTAATTGAGCAACAAAATCAAATACCTCATTATAAATTGATGCCAACTCTTTAACAATAGCTTTTGTATCTTTCAACTTATTCTTTGTCATTCTTCTTAGTCTTATACATCCAGTTCATGTCGGTAGCTTGTGCCCATCTTACAAATATTACTGCAATATCACGTGATGGTCAAAAGAAACTGATGATTATTACTAGTAATAAATAGCGATGCAATAAGCAAAAAAAATACATACAATTATTCGACGCTTCTTTATATGGTTTAGCCATATCCTACGTCCACAACATCTAAGATTTCCTCCTGCACATACCTTATCAAGTTCATCGAGCAATGCCAAGCACTTGGTTACATATCATTAAGGAATATGTCAACAATGTTTTGTTCAATTTAATGTAATATATTATTTTCATCATTTTTCTGTTTTGGTTTCCAGTATTTAGCATGTATTGTAACGTAAATATGCGCATTTTTTTATTTTTTCTATATTTGGTTCGATGTAAAGTAAATGTGTAATGAAAAAGTAAAGTTTTTAGAACTCATTTTGCAGTGTATTTGAAACCCACTAAAGTCGAGAAAGTTCCAAATACACTATTTATCTTTGACATGAAAAAGGAGTGGAATCTCCTTTTCTAGGCAACCAAACAGCCCCTTAGTGAAAAAGCCTTGGACATGTGTTTCTAATCAAGAATTATTTTTAACCTTGATTACTCTGCAAGGATTTAACACGAGCCGAAATGAAACAGTATCTATTTAATTTGTTTTAGTATTTAAATTCGTGTAATTTATTTAGTTCAAAATAAAAACCTGACATTATTTTTAACAGTGTTGAGTGACCCATAAATCTGTGAAAAGTATTTTTTAGACATGAAATAGCAGCTTTAAATACACAATTTCTTTTAAATGCCTAAAAAAATTTTATTGTTTTGGGGAAATTTTGATGCTAGGCCCGTATCATTAAAGAAAGATAATTACAAAATTGATATAAAAATGATAACTTAAAATGATTTCAAGTAAGAACAAAGTTGTACCAAAAGGCCATAACCAGTCAAAAAAATCAATATCATGAGGGGAACCAATCTAAAGGAGATCGCATGGACTCAGGGGAGCATAGTCAAAGAAGGGTACATCATCCCATGCAAAGCAACACTAACAACGATCCATCAGAAGGTCGAACTATAAATAGCGCCCCTGGTTGCCAGCGGCCATCCATGACAAGAATGGTTGCCACATAAAGGCCATTCACAGAACAAGACGACTGTCCCAGGCCGTCTAAGGGGCATTATTCTCCAAACATCATAGTCCATTAAACAACCCCGAAAAAGCAACATAGCCGAAGGGCAACAAGGCTATGCCAAAAATAGAGAAATAAAAATCATCGAAGAAGAAGCAGCCATCCCAATTTGAAGCTGTTCGAAAAATTTACTTTGAAAATGTCCCAATTTTTCCACTTAATCACTTTGGCATAAAGGGCTTTCTTAATAATGACTTAAAATTTCATCATTTGAAACGGGAATGGTCAAGGTTGAAGCCAAATCAGGTGGGATGAAGTTCCCAACTGGTATATCAAAATTGGTGGCGTAAGGAGGTTTGGGGTAGTTGAAAATGTTCTCGAAGTGACGACAGGAATCAAAAGCAATATCCTCAGGAGTAGTGAAGTGACCTAAAGGAGTGGATAGCTCCTTAAGAAAGCTAATATTTCTCATAGACATAATTTTAGCATACAAAAACCCCAAATTGTCTTCACCATTCGAAAACCAGTTAGATTTGGCACGTTAAATCATCTAGGAGGACCATTCAGCTTGGTATGAAAAATCTCTTTATTTTGTAACTCATGTAGGAGAGAGTACTATTTGATGGTTAGATCCTTGATAAAATCAGAATGATAAGAGGAAGATGCCTAAATCTTAGATTTAAACATGGGTTTGAGGGTCTGAAGCCTTACATTGAGGGAGGCAATCTGACTATCGGTGGCGGGAGCAAAAAAGGCTGAAATGACGGAGTCCCATAAATCCTAAAAATGAGACCAATAGTTATTTTATAAGAACCTACTCCTATGAGGGATGGTCTAATTTGTAAATAGAACCAATGGGGAGTGGTCAGAGCATTAAGGGTCATCCACCTTATAAAAAAAGGTGAGAAAACAATCCAACCAATGGGAGTTAACCAACACTCTATCCAGCTTTATATGAATCATATTTCCTGCTCGATTATTGCACTAAGTAAAGAAGAGTCACAAAGAAGCAAGATCCTAGACACCAGTGTTGAAAACAACATCATTTAGTTCCACAAGCCTACAAAAATGTAAAGGTTTGCCACCCAATTTTTCATATTCAAATATGCAATAATTAAAGTCCCCTAAAATGATACAGTGAGAGGTAATAGTAGACACTAACTCTTTAATCATATGCCAAAGCCGTCTCCTGCCAACAAGGGAATTGGAAAAATAAATTATAGAAAGAAGAACTTGTTGGGAAAATCTAGCGGAGAAGCAACATTGGATTAAATAAGGAGTACAGAGGGAGGGGGTAAAGGAGTAGTAGGAGGAGTCCCACTTCAACTATATTCTACCAGGGATAAAGAGGCAAAGTTGTTGAAGCAACTTTCATTTTCAAAGATGTTGTGGGTTTTAATGAACCAGGGATCTAAGGTGAGGTGATTTGAATTTTTAGTTCGAGAATGCATAGGAACTTATATAATGAAGATGGACAAAAATTTTACAAGCTGAGACTTTCTCAGGGTTGTTAAACCCTCGAATATTCCAGGTCGCCATAGGAGGAAAGGTCACTAGGGTTTTGAGGGAGGGGATTTTGCCTTCTTGGCATTTTTGGCTCTTGCAGATTTGGAAGTTTGGGCCTTGTTCTGCATAAATGGAGAATCCTTAGGGGAAGAAGTAAGATCGTCAAAGGTTGATTGATCATCAAATTACAAAAGAGCAAACTTGTTTATGGATGGGAACTTAGAAGTTTGAGGTGAAGAAGCTTGAGAATTTTTCTTTGAGGATGAGGCTTCCCCAGTATGGAAGTTCAAATTGGGGATGATAGGTTCATCATCCTTCCATTGGATTTGAGTAGTAGGGGAGTAGAGAGGAGTATATGATGTTGAGTTAGAGCTGCCAGCCATGGGGATGGCCACAATATGAACTGAGGATGGTATAAGGGACATGGTGGGAATAGTTTTGACTGAGAGGAACAGGGTAGGGATCTTTGAGGTGGAGGGATTATCAATCAGAGTGTTAGAGGATGTGGGATGCACATAAATGGGTAAAGTGCCGGGGACCTTATTGTGAAGAGTAGCGACACGAATGGAGCGGTTACGGCTAATGCTATGTTTACAAGGGCGAGTAGTAGTTTTGGTGGTTGTCAAGACAATAACCGTGTGATTAGAGTTGATAGAGCCAAAATCGTGACAAGGAGTCGATTTCCAATTGTAAATGACCTTGAGTGTGATGTCTTCATCATCAAGCGACTAAGGGATTTCATCTGGCAAAGTGGAGGAGCTAGTGATCTGGACATAAACTCTGACAAAAGTTTAGTGAGTTTTCTTTGTTGTTAATGAGTAAACAATAAGAGTAACTACAATGTAGCTGACAATTTTTAGAATTCTAGAGGAGTCCCAAACAGCAAGTGGGAGGCCTGGAATCTTAATCCAGATAAGAATGATAGATAGTTCTTCACGTTTCGACTTGAATTTAGGTGATCATTTTTTAAGAACAAATGAGTTGCTTAAGAAAAACTAGCAACATCTCAACCAAGCTATGTCGAAGTCTTCAAGGGTAGAAAACTTAAAGAGGAAGAACCCATAATTTAAGGAGAAAAGAAAGCGAGTCTTTAAGCGATCAGACCTTAATGGTTGAGAGGAGACACAAACACATAGACACACTCATTAAATCCTCTTATCATTGATAAATAATCAGTTTAGTCTCAAAGAATCACGTTGCTATAATTTTATTTTTGAATTATATAAAATTAATCTAAAATGATTCATTTGTTACTAAATTGTGATCTATTTTATATAGTTGAAAGATTGAAGCTTCATTTATGACAGTTTTTTGTAATTTTTCAAAGCAACTTTTCAATATTTTTTTTTTTTTTTTGATAATAGAATGCTACTTTAAAAAGCAGTAAAAAAACTGTACCAAATAAAATCTAAATTAAGAACAATTTTATATTACAATTAAACATGAGGGATCATTTTAAATCAAATTTATATAATCGAGTGACTAAATTGAAATAATGTGATTTTCTTAGACTAAATTGTCCACACAAAAATAATCTGAATATTTTGAGATTTGGGAAATATAAACTCTTTTGGTTTCATCAACTTCCAACTAATTTAATTATGATATTAAAAATACAAGAATTTTTTAGTTAAATTTTTAGATAGGTAGTAAATTTAAAAATATGCATGATTTGAATATTGTGCATACTTTTTCCTAATGAAAAAAAATAAATAAATAAAATAAAGTTCAGGTACATAACATCGGGGAATCAGCCTATATAATAGTGAGTCTGTAAAAAAAAATTAGAAAGGGAAAAAGGAATGTTAAACACAAACAAAAATTGACATAGCTTATAGATTCACTGGTACAGTCAGACCATCATAACTCAACTGCAAATCAAGACCCTCCAATTTCTTCAACTTTGCAAGATCTTCACTTATTTTTTCATGATCCATTAGATGCATCATGCCTGCTTAAATGATAGAAGAATCGAAATTATTCATTATTTCTTTTCTTTCTAAATCTAAATCATGGGGATTTACATACATACTACTAAGCTCTTTATGTATTTACATTATCTAATACCTAATTTATTATGTTTACTTATGGAGCCAATTGATTGAATGAAAATAAAATACATAATTAAATAAAATACAATGTAGAAGGAAAGACAATGTATTTGAAATGTTTGAAGTTGTTTAAACGAATATAAAATAAATGTAAGTGATTATTATTATTATTATTATTTTTGAATTAATATGAATAGTGTAAAACCCAATGATAATGATAGCCATTGGCTGGCAAGACATGTTAGGATTCGGGCAATGCCTTGTGACAGTGATAGTGGTAGTGGCAGGTAGCTGGTGGCAACAGCCACTATAACAATGGTAGTGATGACAATGTTAGATAAATTATAGTGTTTGAAAATAGGCCAAATCTAGTGATTTTCAAATACATCAAAATTGAATGGAACCAAAATTTTACTTTGCATTTCTTTTACTTCAAATTAAACAAAAATATTTTTAAAACCCATTTGCTCACATGGCAACGGCGACCCACCTATGCCATTTGAACTCTCCGGCTCTCTTAGAATTGAAGGCGCCTTCTGCTCTCCCCCGACTCCTCTGCATGTAGCTGGTGGCAGCAGCCACTATAACAATGGTAGTGATGACAATGTTAGATAAATTATAGTGTTTGAAAATAGACCAAATCTAGTGATTTTCAAATACATCAAAATTGAATGGAACCAAAATTTTACTTTGCATTTCCTTTACTTCAAATTAAACACAAATATTTTCAAAACCCATTTGTTTCAAATATTTTATATTCATTTTACTTCAAACCAAACAGCCCCTATAGAACATTGTAATGCCTAAATCACATCAAAATATATAAATAAGAAGATGTATTTCATTTTAAATAAATTAATATTAATAGTATTTTTGATATTATTCAAAGTATGATATTATTCAAATAAAAATTTAGATGTTAATATATAAATTTATAATAATCAATGGCATGCATGTAAAATCCTCTTTGAATTTTTGTTTCATATTCTGAAGATCAACAGTAGAAAGTTAGAATTCAGAACTTGTTCTCTAATATAACTTTAAACATACCAGTAAAGAGAGTTCTTTTTGGTCTAATTTTTCGAACCTCTTCTAAAGCCTGCACAAGCAAATTTACAAAATCAATGAAACTGCAAATCTGAAACATCTATATTTGAAGGAAACAAATATCAAATGGTATAACATTTATGTACCCTAGGTAGTCCAAAATGTGTTGACGAAGAACGATCCGGTCTTAGTGCGTCCTGAACATGTAGAATAAGGGTTAGAAGTGAAGGAATTGAATCCAAATCCCAGATGAGAAACAAGTGAAGTACCAGAATAAGTAAGTCGCAGTTCTTGAGTAGCAAATATGTTTCTTCAGGTATCTCACTAACATCACTGCATTGACAAAGGAGAACAAAATTCAATAGAGACATTTGAAGTAACAAAAGGATAAGTACTAACTAGATGTCATCAAAGTCTTGCCTTATATAGCAGACATCGCCAAATCGGAAACCAAGGGAACGATATCCTTGGCCATGCCAGACAGGTAAAGGGGTTATCTAGGTCAGTTGAACATATAAGTATAAATAAGATATAAATTAAACCAAAAAAAAAAAATTAATTGAATGTTAATGAGTAAATGATCAAATGGTCTTTAGATTTTTTTGATGCATTCATTTTAGTTACAAATTATTATAAGTGTTCAATTTAATCCCTAACTTACTAAATTTGAACTAATATGATCATATAAGCAACTTTACCATTTCTTTGGATGGAAATTAGTAGCGGGAAGCTTTTAGTAGGGTATTTTGGATTTTTTGGGTCAATATCACTACTTAATTGCAGCAAAAACTAACAAGATTGACCTTAAAAGTTTAAAATGCTCTTGTGGAAAACTTTCCTCCAATAATTTCTGTCCAAAGAAATGACAAAGTTGAAGGAAAGACCAAATTGGTCCAAATTTTATAAGTCGAGAGGGACAAAATTAAAAACCTGAAAAAAAATTTGAATTGAAATGTAAGCATCTCAAAAGTAGAGATCATTTTTGACCATTTAATCAAATGTTAATACATTGAAACAATAATCAGTAATTGTCTTTTTTGAGTACGAGTAAAAACAATATCATCACCTAGCAGACTAGATAATAAGGCTTTTACAGATCCATAATTTGTTACACAAAAATGCAAGTGGGTCCTGTTGTATGTTTTTGTGTACTACACACCACAAATGTCCTCATTTTACACCAATGATTAAATAGATTCATGAAATTTTGTTTGCTTTTGCCAGTAATTTTTTGCATTAGGTATACAAAAACCCCTGCTTCCAATTAAAAGTTGACCTCTTAATGGCTATAGACCACTAGCAGCTGAGGAATTAGAGGACTTCGGAGATGTTGGTAAAGTTGACAATGTGAGACTGGCGGAAGCCAAAGAGGTCAGTTAGATCACGAAGAGGAGCAACATAAATTTTGAGCAATTTCATCCAATCAAGAATATAGTTTGTGAAAATGTAAATAAAAAAATGCTAAGTAGGCAAACAATTTGTCTACTAACAGTATTTACTCTTACAGGTGAATATATGGACCGAAATGCAATTAGTGTAAGAAAAAAGATATCTAAATACAAATTACCTAAATCATTCATATAATTTAATGGTCAAATACTCTGTAGTTCTAAATCCTTGAAATAAAATAGGGATTCTGGCAAAGTTCGAAGACATTTGTCAATTGGAACCTACGATCTCATCATGAAATTTATGAAGCTACTAAGAAGTCGTAGGAAGTGTTTCATAGTAAGCTTGCTGTTCCTTTCTTTTTCATATAGCTGAATAATTTTCTCGTAGTAAGAAAATGAACTTTTTGTCATAGATGTGAAGATAGAAGAACTCTAACTAGATGAAGAAAGGAAAAAAGAAAATAAAATGAACAGAAAAAAAAAATGTTTCCAAATTAAAAACGAGCCCCAAATCCCTGTTGGTAAACAAGGGTAATTGATACGTTGGTTGAAACTTGTTCACAGTCCCAACTTTGGAAAAGAAATGTAAGATGTATAACTAACTACCAACCTTGAGATTGTGCACAATAAATGGCTCCTCTTTGATTATATTAAATTGTAACTCTGAGACTGCAGCACCTTCTAAAACAACACTAGTATCCACCAAGTAGTAATGAGTCATTTTCATAACCTGGAGCAAATTTAAAAACAAGTGTCAAACTCAATGGAAACAATGCAAGTTATATTGGAAAAAAGGAATTTAAAGGATATTTTTGGTTATAGATACAACATATTTTCGGTTGTGCTGCAAAGCATAAATATAGGCCGTCCTAGGTTGCTAGGATTTCTAATGCGGATGCAATCATATAATGACAAAAAAAAAAAAATCCGCAGAAGAGAAGGTCATTAATCTTAAACAATTATTCAGTGCTAGGATTTTTATTGTTTTATTTAAGATAAAATCAAAATTTTTATTTTAAATAATATATGGAATATTTTCAGTATAATAATGGTTTTCAAATTATTGTTACAGTTTTTCCTTCAGCCTTTTTTTTTTAACATGGCAAAAACCAATCCATTAAAAATCTCAACTGATTATTTTAAGCTTACAAGTCACAATCTATAGTAATCATTAAAAGGAATCGGTGGCGATCGGTTGCATGGTATTATTTGAATACGCTTTGCAATTCTTTGGTTTCTAGGAATGGACTTCAACTTTAGTCCCAAAGAAACCGCAACATAAAAGCTATAGGAAGTACACACTTCAGCTAAACGTCTGAAAAAGATGCAATACAGAAGTAATTGAACCCGAAATTTCTACAGTACAGCAACTATAGGAACCAAAGAAACAACAAACAAATTATTAAAAAAAAAAATAACCACAGAAATAGGAATCAGCTTCAGAAACATGAAAGAGTTGAAGAAGACATGGGGAAAGCATAGGCACAACATCAATAAAACATGAAATTCTAGAAGAAACTGCAGATGATACAAGTATAATTTTACGTGAACAAGTTAGTAACTTTACACCAAAACAAATGTTGTGCAAAGAACATAAGGTATATGTCCCTTAAAGGTTGAACTAAGAGTAAAATAGGAGCTTGGTAATCTAATGAACTAAAACACTGGATTCAAAGCTTTGATTTTCCCCGGTAGTACATAGAGTGTCATTTAAATAAAGTTGCATATCACCTCAAAATCATGCTTAGCCACATAAATTGGGATGAATGGCTGGACATTGTTTGTCCAATCACGAAGATCATCAAGACCTGCAATCAAATAAACCACGTAAATAAACAGTCCAAGTTGCTTTGAGATAATATTCATCTTTAGCTCAAAACAATTACTCTAAATATGAATGCAAGTTAAAACCATGTATTGGCAATTTTCTTTCCCAAGAGTGTATTGAACAAAGCAAAGCATACGCTTTGTTTTAGTTTATTTTCCCTTGAAAATGTAAAATGAAGAGGAAACCTCAATACCTACATACTTTGTTACCTAACAGATAAAGGCATCATTTGGGATGGCTTTCTTCCTTCTTCTTAAAGTAGTTTTCTAGTACAAAAATTAAAATTTTTGGACTACAAAATTGCTTTAAGAAGCAGTAAAAAAGCTGTCCCAAACGAAGCCAAAGTCTAAAACTCTAAACATATGAGCAAAAATCTTAGTTATCCCAATTAAGAGGTTAAATACAATGATATTCCGTTGTGGACTTTAAGGTCAAAGGTTATTCCACCCTTTGGACTTTTTTTGGAGTCTAAAGATTGAATGCTGAGCAGAATGTTGTTTTTGAAAGCAATCTTTTACTTTCTCGGATATTTCCACAATATGGAATTTTGCCTATATGGGGATTATATTAGATTTAGGGGAGGAGATTTTCGGTGTAAGTCATCATGATTAATTACATTCCAAGTTTGATACATGAGACTAGCGATGTATGTTGATTATATCAACATTTAATTTGACTTGTAATTGATGTGGACTTGATTGAAAGGCTACTTGTAGCCTTAGTTACACGGAAAAATATGGGTTTTTTAATTTGTAGACTTATATATGGGACTTTAAACCCTAATTTAAATGAGCATAGAGAATTAATTTAATTTAGAATGATTTGATATTTTTATATTGATTGTGGGCTTTGATTAGAGATTTGACATTTGCTACTCTAACTTTAGGGAGGCCCACAAAGCTGTGATATACAACCCTAAGAACAAGAGTGACTAGAGTACATATTTTATTTCTATAATATTAGAGAGGCCTGCATATTCGTCTTACAATCTTACTTTTAAGGCAAGGCAACTTGAGAATTGTTTTGCTTACCTTTGCTGGATTGATAATTTAATGTTGCTTATGATCATTGATTTAAGGCCAAGAGCCTACCACTTCGGAATTAAATGAACTCAAGATTCGAGACATATAACCCTAACAATTAGGGGAGTCCAAGATGTTGTTTTTACTATTCTGATATTAGAGAGTTTTACTAGTGAGGCTTATAACCTCTCAATTAGTGGAAGGCACAACAATGAGTCTTATAGCATCATCAAATAGATGATCGGGCTATTTTTTATTTGATTTTGAATTAAATTGACTTGATGGACAAATTAATTGAGCTTAGCCTGAACTATGGTTCTAGGTTATGCCGTGTGATGTATAGGTCAATCAATCATATCCAACATCTATGGACTTTTCCAGCTGGAATGCGATTAGTTCACTCTTCTTAGGCATCTCTCTAATATTTTGAAAGGAAGTGGATGCACTTTTCATAAAAAAACAGCGGATGAAACACAAAATTTTGGGAAAAAGAATATCCCAAAACAAATTTTATTGAAATAATTATAAAGAGAATGTAAGATACAATTGGATCTTCAATTGGAAAGAAAGATCTAGCACCCTCAAATCCCTAGCCACTGGCTAGAGCTCAAATAATCTAAGAATAAACTAAATTCAACAAACTCCCAAAACATAATATGAAATCACTCTATTGTTAGCCTTAAATAGGCTCCCCTAATTCTCTCTCAAATCAACTCTCTTTTCCTAAATAATTCCCTCTCATATTTGAATTCAACTTAGATATCTTGCCCTAAATAATTCCATCTCAATTGCAATTAAAACTTTCCTAAACAATTCCCCCTTGAATCCTCCTCCCTTTTCCTAAATAATTCCCTCTTAGATTTTGACTTTAAATTAGATATCTTTCCCTAAATAATTCCCTCCCAATTGTAATTAAAAATTTTCTTAAACAATTTCCCTTCGATTAAGAACCTTTCCTAAATAGTTCCCTCTTGATTAGAAAACTTCCTAATTTTCTCTCAATCAAATTTGTCGGTCCATCAAAACTCCCCTCCCAAAGTATCACATTATCCTCAAGGTGGAACGAAGGAAACTGTTGTTGAAGCACTGGACTAATACCACTAGTATGAAAAAAGAATTGTCACTAGGATGAATGATCTATGCCTCCAAAATCTCCTTGATCAATCTCTCGATCCCATCCTTCCGGAGTTGGGGAGAATGGTATGGACGAACACTGATATGTGAGACTCCGTCCTTCCAAATGATAGCATGTGTGTGCTCCCGCGGAGGAAACAACCACTGAACTGACTGGAACACCTCTCGATATTCTTGTAGGAGTGACTGAACCATATTTGGTGCTTCTATCTTCTCCGCATATTTTCATTCCAAATTATGAAGCTCCGCAACAAATCTTACTCTTTCACCCTTTCCCCTCCTTTGAAGTGGTTCCGTAGATGGCATCTCTCTTCTTCCCCAAAAATTTCCACCTTCTGATTCTCCCTCATTATCCATATATTAGGGCTTCTCCCATTTTCTTGTCCGATCAACAATGCTCTCACCTCCAATGTTGTTGGTTTGGTTTGGCCCTCAAGCAGCTTCTTTATCATCTCCTCCATGATGACAAATTTCTCATTGATATTCTCATGGATGGCTGAAAATTGCTTTATGAAACCTGAAACCTTTTCCATAAAATTAGATTCAATTGTCTGATCTCCCTTTTCAATATTTCTATCTTTCTTCCCTCCATAGGTACTCGGATCTAAGCTCTGATGCACGATACAATTGAATCTTCAATTGGAGAGGAAGATCCGGTTCTCCTAAATCCCTTGCTGCCATCTAGAGACCAAATAACCTAACAATAAACTAAATTTAGCAAACTCCCAAAACAGTATCTGAAATCACCTTATTGTTAGCCTTAAATAGGCTCCCCTAATTACCTCTCAAATCAATAATATTTCCTAAATAATTCTCTCTCATATTTGAATTCAAATTAGATCTCTTACCCTAAATAATTATCTCCCAATTATAATTAAAATTTTCTTAAACAATTCTCCCTTATTCCACCTCCCTTTTCCTAAATAATTCCCTTTTAGATTTCAAATTTAAATTAAACCTCTTGCTCTAACTAATTCCTTTTAAATTTAAATTAAAAAATTTCCTAAACAATTCCCTTTTAATTAAGAACCATTCTAAATAGTTCCCTCTTTATTACGAAATTTCCTAATTCCATTCCAATCAAATCGACCGGTCCATGTTGACCCCTGTATAAAACAAAGAAAAAATGATGATGAAAATGAAATGCATACCTGCACTCTGCCGCAAATCCCCGAAATCCCGATCAATACCTCGGCACCATCGAAATACCTGAGCAAATCCCACAAATACCGCAAGAAATCCCGCACCTCGGATTGTCAAACCCGCAAAATTCGCAAGAAATCCCGCCGAGGCACTGTAGATTCGGCGCCATTCCGGGAATTGCTCGCCTCGATCGCATGCATCTTGCATCTATAAAACGAGAGCAAAGTGAAGACTTCGACACTCACCTCTTCCATTCGCTCCCGTCGCTGCTCTCCCGCTAAGACACCGACGCCTCCTCACTCTCACGACTTCCTCTTCTCCAACACACGAGCTCTCCAACCTCTCTTCCCACGCTCCTCCAGATCCCGATACCCCTCCTCTGTCTAGCTCCAACCTCCAATTCCACGGCCCGCTCTTGCTGCGTCTTGTCTGCTGCCAATCCGAACCGAACGACCCGCGCCATAGCCGCACTAACGCCGAAGCCGCCACCAACCGGACACCCGCCGCCCGTGCGTGGCTCCCACTTGCAGCTGGAGAGGCGGAACCGGGCATGTTTGCGATCGAAGAGGCGCAATGTGCGTGCCTAGGTACCCAACCCGAGTCCTTTAAAGACTCGGCTTGGCTTAGTAAAATTAACAGAAAAAAATATATATTTTTCTTTTTCCCAAAAAAAAAAATCGATCTTTATTGTCGAATAGAAAAATCTTGGAAGCCTTCATTGCTACCATAAGTGATACAGATAGTCTCAATTATTATTATAATGTCATAAATCAATTCCTCCTAGAGCATTGACCAAACTAAGGAGTCGATGGTGCACCAAGGACGAGGTGACCTTCAAAGCATGCAACCTTCCTATCGTCTCAATGGGAAGAACTACCTAAAGTGATCTCAATTTGTGAAGACCTATTTGAAGGGGAAAGGGAAAATACATCACCTCCTTGGAGGAGGACCAAAAGAAGGCGATCCTAAATTTGTGGCATGGGATGAAGCAGACTCCATGATTATGTCATGGTTGTGGAATTCCATGACTCCAAAAATTAGCGATACATTTATGTTCCTTTCAACTGTAAAGGACATATGGGATGCTGCTAGACAGACCTTCTCCAAAGCTCGTGATGCGGCTCAAATCTTTAAAATTAAAGTCAAAGTTGGAAGCACAAAGTAGGAGAGCAGGACCGTAACGGAGTATGCTACCCTTCTACAAAATCTGTGGAAGGAACTTGATCACTATAGGTGCATAGAAACCAGATGTCCGGAAGATGCTGTTATCCTAAAGAACTTTATTGAAAAAGATAGAGTCTATGATTTTCTTGCAGGACTAAATGCATAATTTGACCAAGTTAGGGTTCAAATTCTTGGCAAAGAGGAGACGCCATCACTCAATGAAACCATTTCTCTCATCCACGCACAAGAAAGCATACGAGGAGTTGTTGACCTCCATGTAATAACATAAAAAATCAACGTACCTGTCTCTGCCGCAAATCCCCGAAATCCCGCTCAATACCTCGGCACCGTCGAAATACCTGAACGAATCTCACAAATACCGCAAGGAATCCCGCTGAAACACTCTGCAACAGCGCCGTCTGCGTCGTTTCTCCGTGAAATCTGCCGAAATCTCGCGACGTTGCCTCGATCGAACGATCGCTCTCGTCGTTAAATACCCGCTGCTCTTCTCCCTCCGACTACACACACGACTCCCTTCTCGTTCCGCTCTTCCACGCTCGACTCCACACACCGAAGCTCCCCATTCACGACTCCTCTCCCGCTCTCGTTCTCCACGATCCAAACCCGACGCTCTCTACGCGAAACCTCTGCTCCCTCTCCCGCTCCAACCCGACGCCTCCATCCCCCCTTCCCTTCGAACCAGCTGAGAGAGAGAGAGAGAGATTTCCTTCCTCATACCTGCAACCATCCGCAGCCCCTTTGCTCCGTTCGATCCAACCCAGAGAGAGAGAAGGAGAAAGGAGAGGAGAGAATCCCTACCTAGCCGAACCATTCTTCTCGTCCGACCTCCCCTACCCGATCTCCTTCCACGGCTTTCATTCCCTGTTGGATCGGAAGTAGCGACTGAAGCTCGCTTGTGGTGAAGGTAACTTTCTTCCATTCGCGTGCTCCTTCGGCCAAGTCCAGTAAGGCAGCCGAACAAAGAATAGAAGGAAGGGTAGGATTTAACTCACTGTAGGATTAAGCAGTTGATTAAATCCTACTTAAATCCTACTAATCATGCCTAATCATGTTTAAAATCTGTTGATTAATTATAATTGATTAGATTTAATCCTAAAGAACTTTATTGAAAAAGATAAAGTCTATGATTTTCTTGCAGGACTAAATGCATAATTTGATCAAGTTAGGGTTCAGATTCTTGGCAAAGAGGAGACGCCATCACTCAATGAAACCATTTCTCTCATCCACGCACAAGAAAGCAGACGAGGAGTGATGTTAGAACCAAAGGTCGCTGAAAGCTCAGCAATGGTGATGAACAAATAATCGTCATGGAAGGAGAAAAGTAAAGATACTTCAAAATTCAAAGATAATGACTCACTTTGGTGCAGCTATTGCAAAAAGTCAAGACACACAAAGGAAACATACTGGAAAATACATGGAAAACCCTCCAGCAATGAGTGGAAGCAAAAGGGTGAAACAAGGAGCACATCACATGCCAACAACACTACAAGTAAGCCAGAAGCACAGTCCAGCCTTGGAGAATTCAACAAAGAAGATATTGATAAATTGAAATGACTCCTGGTATCTCTTGAAAAACAAAATGCTTCTTCTTCACTTGCACTCTCAGGTAAGACTCCAATCTCTATTAGTTTAAGTGCTTACAGAAATTATCTAAAGGAATTATGGATCATTGATTCATAAGCCACAGATCACATGACCCACTCACCTACCCACCTCATAAACTATACTCCTTGCCCAAACAAGAAGAAAATCAGCACTGCTGATGGTTTCTCTTACCACGATAGCTGGCCAAGGAGATATAATATTATCTCCCTCACTCACCTTGAAAAATTTCCTCCACGTACCACAATTATCTACAAATCTAATATCAATACAAAAACATACCAATGATCCTAATTGTCAAGCCTTATTCAACCCTACTTATTGCTTATTTCTAGACCAGAGATCGGGTAAGAAGATTGGACTTACTAAGGAGAAAGCAAGATTGTACTACCTGGAAGAACCAAACCAATTTAAAAATAGTTGCTCTATGTTATCCCTGGTTGATAGGAAGTCCACTATTTGGCTTCATCATTATGGACTAGGACATTCATCTTTTGATGTTCTAAGACATATGTATCCACAACTTTTTCAGAAAATAAAAATTTTCATTGTGAAACCTGTGAGTTGGGTAAACATTAAAGAACCTTATTCCCAAACAAAAGTGAGAGATGTGACACTCCTTTCTACCTTATTCAAAGTGATATATGGAGACCCTAAAAAATCCCCAATATCTCTGGGGCACGATGTTTTGTGTCATTCATTGATGATTGCACTAGTCTCTTGGATCTATCTCCTTAACAATAAATCTGATGTTAGCATCATTCTTCCCATCTTTCATACCATGATCAAAAATTGATTCGGTGTAAAAATAAGGAGATTCAGCTACGATAATGCCAAACATTATTTTAACCAAACCCTTTTCTCCTACTTCCAAAGTGAAGGGATCATCCATGAGTACTCATGTGTTCACACCCCACAATAAAATAGGGTTGCAGAGGGGAGAAATGGTCACCTTCTAGCCTCCACCCGAGCTTTTCTATTTCACTACAATACACCCAAATCCTATTGGGGGAAGCTCTTTTAACTGCAGCTTATCTCATAAACCGATTACCTTCAATTACCTTAGAGCTCAAAACTCCAATGGAGACTTTGTCCTCTTTTTACCCAAAGTTTCGAACCCATCATAATCTTGCGCCTAAAATCTTTGAATGTACTGCCTATGTTCATATTCACAACCATTAGAGAGGAAAATTAGATCCAAGAGCACTCAAATGCATCTTTGTTGGCTATTCAGCTACGCAAAAAAGTTATAAGTGTTATCATCCACCCACAAGAAAAATCCTTGTCTTTATTGATATTACCTTTAATGAGCAAAATTCCTATTTTTCAAAACCTCATCTTCAGGGGGAGACTGAACTTGAGGAAGATGAGGAAACTGAACTAGCACCTCTTGACCTTCCTCCATCACCTCAAAATAATCCACCTGAAACCCAAGATGGGGAACCAAATGACAAAGCTATCATTAGATTTGAAAAAGTTTACTCCAGACGTACAAGCTCAAACTGTGCTCCAAAGCAGATCCAAGAATCTGAACCATCTCCTAGAAATAAGGTAAGCTCACCACCTCCGTTATACCATATAAATAACTATATATATATATCAACAACTTCTCATCGTAACACAAAAATTTTCTTGTTACATTAGAAGATATCTATATTCCTAAAGATATTTTTGAGGCCTTATCTGATAAAAATTGAAAAAATACCATGAAGGATGAAATGCAAGCCCTGGACAAGAACAAAACATGGGAGATCGTCAATCTACCGATAGGGAAAAAACTTGTTGGCTGCAAATGGGTGTTCTCAGTAAAATACAAAGTTGATGGCATACTAGAGAGATATAAGACAAGACTGGTGACAAAAGAGTTCACTCAAACATATGGCATTGACTACCAAGAAACGTTTGCGCTTGTAGCCAAAATGAATACTGTCCGAATACTACTCTCACTAGCAGCCAAGTACAAATGGCATCTAGAATAACTGGATGTGAAAAATGCATTCCTGCATGGGGATTTAGAGGAAGAGATATTTATGGAAATACCACCAAGGTTTAAAGAAAAATCTGAAGTTAACAGGGTGTGTAAACTGAAAAAGGCTCTATATCGGCTCAAAAAATCACCAAGAGCCTGGTTCGGAAGATTCTCTAAATTCATGATCCTGAATGGGTATCGACATAGTCAAGGTGATCATACATTATTCATTAAACACTTAGACTTAAGGGGAGTCTTAATATTATTAGTGTATGTTGATGATATTATTTTGACTGGAGATAATGAAGAGGAGAAAGTTAATTTAAAGAAAAGTCTTACTAAGGAATTTGACATCAAAGAACTTGGTAGACTAAAATACTTTCTCGGAATTGAAGTAGCTCACTCCAGCAAAAGAATTTTTATTTCACAACAGAAATATATCAAAGATCTTCTAAAAGAAATAGGTAAACTAACTTGCAAACCAGCACCGACACCAGTAGAACCTAATCTTAAACTAGGGGAAGCTAGAGAAGATCCAGATATAGATAAAGGGGCCTATCAAAGACTTGTAGAGAAATTGATCTACATCTCCCACACTAAACCAGATATAACATTTGCTGTAAGCATGTTCAGTCATTTTATGTAAAATCCAAAGCAGATTCACATGCAAGCGGTACACAGGATATTGCACTACCTTAAAGGAAGACCGGGAAAAGGGATTCTCTTTAAGAGAGATCGTGGAATAGTAAGTGTCGACCATGTATCATCAAAGGATCAACTTGCAGATATCCTTACTAAAGGATTGGACAGTTCTGCCTTTCTCAGAATGATTAAAAAGCTGGGGATGACAGATCCATATTTTCTAGCTTGAGGGAGAGTGTTGAAATCCACCCGTTCCCAGTGTAAAGGATCCGACGGACACAAAGATCAATCCGTGGGATGCTCTCATGAATCACGCCATAATGAATGAACGAATTTAGGAAAGATTTTATTAGAAATTTTATGTATTTTAATATTTCCTCATTAGGATATTTTGTATAGATCTATAAATATGGAAGATTATAATGAATAAAGGCAAGTTTTTCCTCTCAAATTCCAGGTTTTAACAAATAGAAAATAGTTCCTCATTTTCTTCGATTTTTTTATTTTATGATTTCCATTTTGTAAGGCGCAGATCCATTCATTTTAGGATACCATGTCTTTCCAATTTCTTCTTTGCATATCCTAAGCTTGAAAGAGTTGCTTTCGGCGAAGCTCCATGTCTAAGCAACAATGGCCCAATTAGGTTTCTATAAAGTTACATTAGGAGGTCATCGATGGCATAAAGAGGATTCAATGGCAAGGAAGAACACAACCATGAAAAATGATGGCACAGAATTATGATTGCTGAAACATGAAACAAAGATGCCAAGATGGTAAGTTTGTAAAATAGAGTAACAAAAAGAAACAATCATAATAAGGTAAGAAAACACAGCAAAATGTTTCCTTAAAAGAAATAATTATTCTTAGTAGAAATCCATCAATGAGACAAGCATGTCACTAGACAATATCTTCTAAAAAACATATAATTGAATTTTGATTATTTTCTTAAATAGCAAGAACATTATAGTGAAGTGCACGGTATGCACCTCCTATTGCATCAGCATGAGAATGAGTAATAATGACTGCATCAATGTTTCTCAACCTGGAATACATTACAAAAGCCAAGTAAATAAATGCTCAAATAACATTGTGATGAAAACATTAACTTCTGAAAAATTTTATGAAATCGACAAATGTGTTTAAATATTGCAAGAAATATGCAAGAATCTTGTAAGCATCAATCATTAAAGCTTTGCCAGCAGGAGAAAAGTAAGTCTTTTGGTGATATTTTTGTACTTATTTAGTTATATTTAGTTATATTGCTTTATAGTTTTGTTTATTCCTACAATGATAACTTTTTATAGTGACAATTAGTGGTAAGCAGCACAAAACTAAAGAAGACAATTAGATCAAGATGGGAACTGCCAAAGAAAAAGACGACTGGACAGCAACAGTGGTCTGCAACAATCGTGGATGAGAGCATCAATTACCAGCAGCAAGTGGCTAGTAGCAGTAAAGATAGTGATGAAGTGACAGAGAACATTCTTGCAGAAGAAAGTGAGGAAGAGAAGGATGAATGGATGTAAACCATATGATCATGATTTGATTACCCCCACCTTGATTAACCCTTCGTTGAATAAGGTGCAAAGTGGTGGTGTTGCAAGATGTCATATCAGTAATACGTCGGTATGTTACATAATTAAAATAGTTTTCTGTGGTTACAAATACAAATCACATGAATATATTAAGGTTATTCGTCCATTTTGTTATGTAAAATGTTCATACTTTACAATGTAATTGTTATCAATGAGAATGTCGATGTTTTTTTTTTTTTTTAATATTTCAACTATTCATAGACGTGTAATATTGGAAATTTTTTGCCCTATTATGCTACATATTGCTCCAGATCTTTTCAATTTGAATCCAGCATCCAACATTTGTCAAATTTATATATTTGGGTCATCTAACGAGTGTAGAAATTACAATTGTAGTAGATTTGGCATGGCAAGAAACTACAACAGAAAGTTACTAGGAGATAGGTTGAAGTTGCTTTTCATTTCATTTATGCTTCCTTTAAATCGGGTGTATGTATACAAAGCAGAGAAAACACAGGTTGCTTTCAGTGCAGGAGGAATTTCGGCTTAGCAGCAGGAGTTGCAGTGGCTGTTGGAGATGTGCCGCATCTAATGACGCTTGCTGTGTGGGCTGCAGTAGGAGTGTAGCGAAGAAGTAGTTGAGCTAGCTGCATGCGTATCAGGAGTCCTTATCTATATGTTGAGGTTGCAGTTTATCCAAACCCATACGCTCTTAGAAATGATGCATATAAATGTAAAATTCTATTGCATATTGAATAGTAGGGTAAGTTGATAATTATTTTATCAAAATAAAATCAACATTGCAATGAATTCATTTATGATAAAAGACTTCAATGATATGAATCATACTGAATGACCCGTTATGGAAAATAAATCTAATCACATGATTTTTTGAAATTAATGAAGTATTTTTGTAGCTCTTGTTTTAGCTTCTTTGTTTTCTTGCCTTCATTATATAGGAAATGTCGCTAGACATAGAAATGTCATATCAGAAATACATATTTTGGTGTGTTACATAATTAAAATACTTTGCTGTGGTTACAAATAAAAAATCACTTAAATATAATGAAGTTATTCTTCCATTATGTTCTCTAAAATGGACACACTTTATAATGTAATTGTTATCAAATGAACATGAAAATGTTTTTTGTTAAGTACGCAAGTATTTCAAACATTGGTAGATGTGTAACTTAGAAAATTTCTGGCCCTATTATGCAACATATATTCCCCAGCCCTTTCAGTTTGAATCCAGTATCAATCATTTTTAAACCATGTATCTTCGGAATATCTTAGGAGCACTTTTATTTTGAGGTTCTAGATTACCAGACCTATAAACTCTTGAGAAGGTGCATAAAACCTAAAATTCTATTGCATTTTGAATACTAGAGTAAGTTGATGATTATTTTCTCCAATTAAAATCAACAGTTCCATGAATTTATTTATCATAAATGACTTAAAGAAAATCTGAATTTAAAATTCCATGTCTGGTTGATTTCAAAGGTGCCAAAAAAAAAAGATTATTAATAGGATATCATAAAGGATTATAGATTTAATTTTCCCGTAACCATAACGAGATTGCTTCATTCATTAATTATTAAATGCTAATATTCAATAAGATGAAAATCTATTTTATAGTAGTAATGGAAATATTATAAAAAAAGACCGTTTGTACATCATCAAACAGCAAGCCGGAATAAAAATATGATGCATTTAACCTAAAGCCAGCCAAGAGTTGGTTTGGGGGGCTTAAGATCATATCTAGTAGTTAATCAAGAGTCAAACAACAAAAAGAGGTGAGGATTTATTCCAGTAACTGCAAGCATCTCTTTCAGCTTATTTCCCACATTGAAATGAAACAATTTTTTTCAAGAACAAGTTTTTCAGCAGTTATTTCTGCTTAGACAAAACAAAAAAAAAAAAAATCTAAATAAACCTTATCCTTTTGTCGTTTGACAGATATCAAATTTCTATTTATGGATTCAATGCGATGGTAAAACAAATACCATTACATAAATTGAAAGCATCACATCATTAGCACAAAGCCAAAGTTAAGTGGTTGTAGATGAAGGATGCAAAATCACGGCAATGCTTCCAAAAATTATACAAGTCGTGCATAGAGGAAATTAAAAAAAAAAAAGCTTCAATAACTACTAAATGAATGATTATTTACCCGAAAATAGGAAACCACGTCAAAGCACTGTGGTAGAAAAATCTGCAAAGCACATGAAGAAGATGAGGTGATTACCAAATACTACAGTGTCGCGCACTCAAGTTACTAGACAAGAATATTCATATATCACCAATGAATGTATAAAATTTAATGACAAAAATTTATCCTAAAATAAAAATGGTTATGGAGTTAAAGAAGAAATCTACAATACTTATTCATTTTAAATTAGAGTAACCCGCTTGTATATAATCATAAAATGAAAGGCAGGACAATTCTTTGCTTGAATCCTTTTGCCAACTATAGAGAAAAGAAACATGAGGGGCAAAAAAAAGTGAAACCCATACTTCAATCCATGGGAAAACAAGAGGGGGACGACAGTAAGAGCTAGATAAATTTTCATTTAAAATTTTATTTACCAAGTCTTATTTAAGAAAAAAGTCATTAACTAGCCCGACCAGTCGACCAATGACATGATCCAGCTCAGATTTTTCCACGGCCTATCTAGATAATTAGCAAACCAATTTTCATCTAGTTCCTTTGAATAGATATATAAGGAGGTATCGTCTAAGGTTTGATCACAAGTTTCTTTTCCAACCACCTAAATAGATTATTAGCAACAAGAATTCAAGTACTGGATCTTAAGGTAGGTAATTTTTATTTATTAGGGGATAAATATATCACTCCTTATTAGAGGTGTAGATGCTTGTTCTAAGCCTCACTTATATATTTAGCAAATTGTGAGCCATGCTGAACACTGATATGAAATAAAAGATAGAAAACTTAAATTTATATTTAATGTCAAAGTACAATCACTATTATAAGAGATTAGATAAGACATAGGTAACTAGACCTGTCAACATTTGATCCGACCCGAAAACCCGATCCGAAACCGACCCGAAATTGTCGGGTTCGGGTCGACCCGGTTACATAACGGGTCGGGTTCGGGTTTGGAATTTCGACCCATTTAGTTTTTCTGGTCGGGTCCGGGTTGACCCGAAAACCCGAAATTGACCCGAATTAACCCGCACGGTTTTATAATTTAATAAATTATAATGAGGGCGGAGCGGGGCCAGCAGGCTAATACTCTCAACTCTCGTTTCATTCCCTCATTCCTGGCTTCTGTTTAGGGTTCCTGCCTTTCTCGGTTTCTCCCTTTCTCTCCAATCTCCGCCTCTCCGGTTCTGGAGCTTTCGTCGAGTCTACTCGTCGGCACGACGGCGTCTACGCTTACATTTCAGACTTTCAATTCACACATTCCCTAATCTGTTTCACTGTTTGTATCTCGTTTCTACTTTATTTTAGCATTTTTTGATATTTTTGAAGATGAAGGTGTTGATATTTTGTTTTCTTCATTTTATCATCTATTCTCTATTTCTCTGCTATGGTGTTGAAATTTTTTTGAAGTTGGAAGTTGTCCCGTGAAATCTAATTCTCTGCTAGGGTTTATCTCGGCTAGCCGGCTAGGGTTTTAATAATTTGCAAGATTAATGGTTATTTTTGTGCAAATATTGTTGGCAACGATGTTTAACCAACATATTGATTTGTGACATTTGTCTCTACTCTCTAGTTTAGCTCAGTTTGAAATTTTGCAGATGCCAGAAGCATTGACTCATTGAGGCAGTTAGGGTATAATGTATTTGTGGTTTTTTCCATTTTTGTTTTGGTTATTGTTTACTGGTTTGTTGGCTAAGGTGTTTAAACAAAAATTGCCATAATTTTTTTCAAGTTGGCTGGGGTGTTTACTGGTTATTGGTTACTGCCAAGGTTTTGAAAACCAGACCGGACAACGAACTGGAACAAGGAGAGGTTCACGGTTCGACCGGTTCGACCCCGGTTAGACCGGTCGAACCGGATGACGTAATAAATAATAAGTATTATTTAAATTTAATACAATTAACATAAAAATAATGTTATCAATCAAAGTATGAGATAAAAAATTAAATTAAAAAAAACTATGAAACATAAAAACTTATATAATTAAGTAAAATAATTATTTTAAAATTCAACATAAAACAAAAAAAAAATTAAATATCATAATTATAAGAATTTACACTCAAAAAATATGATAATTTTAAATTTGAATATTTTTCAAATTTTAAATTTAATTTATATATAACCATATAATTTAATATATATTATTATTAATTTATGTTACATATTTAATATAAATTTAATTCTAACATAAGTTTATAAATTTAATATAAATTATTCTTATTTTATATTATATGATTAAATATATTTTACATGTTTATGATATATTGTATACAAAAGTTATTTTATAAATTTATATCTAAAATCATTAATAAATAAATAAAATTATTAATGATAAATTATTTTTTATTATGTATAAATAAATAAATTTTTATTATTAACTAATAAATAATTATCACTCACATAAAAAATAATTAATTAAAAAATCTGATTAAAAATAGGTTTTATACCCATTATATATGCTATGAACTCATACACTCCTCATCTCTTTTCTTTAGTCCCACATCCCTTAGAAACACTTTCTTGCTTTTGTTTATATAGCATATTTAGATTCATTGCATAAAGAGAGCACATGGGGAAGTCATGTGAAGATGTGTCATGAGTACTTTGAGGATAAAAGTACTTATTATATAAAATATATTTAACTTTAATTAAATGTTTTTAATATATATTAATTTATTTATTTAAAAAAATACTTAAAATTTGTGAGATTTGAACCGGCTGGTTCAAAAATAACCGGACCGGTTCGCCGGTTGAACCGGAGGTTCTGACCGGTTCAGTGCGGTTCTTTGCAGAAGCGGTTTCAGGGCTGAACCGGACCGGCCTTATGATCGGTTCACGGTTGACCGGTCGAACCGGCCGGTCCGGTCCGATTTTTAAAGCACTGGTTACTGCCTTACTGGTTATTGTTTAGTGGTTTGTTGGAGAGGGTGTTTAACAAAAAAATGCCATTTTTATGGCAGAATTTTGTTTACTGATTTATTGTATAGTTGTTTGCTGGTTTTGGTTATTGTTTACTGTTTTGGTGATGTCTTCTAATATTTTTGATAGATGGAGGGCTCTAATACCATTGCTGATAATGTTTGTATTGATGAAAATGAAGTTGGGTCATCTGAAAAAGTGATTGAGTTAGAGCCATGTAACATTGAATGTAATGAAGGAGGTGAAGTTGCTAGGAAGCGGAGAAGAATGACTTCGGTTGTTTGGGGTACTTTGAGATGTTGCCTAAGCCAAAAGATGGTAAGCAAAGGTGTAAATGCAAGAAATGTGGTGTGACATATTTCTGTGATAGCAAAAACGACACTGCGAATCTAAGACGACCTTTGGAAAATTGTAAAAAAAGAAATATGCGTGATATTGGGCAACTCATTTTACAAACAAACTCTGAATCCTCCATTTCTATGACTGATCAGTCAGAATTTCGTTACTTGTTTATTGCATGTATCATTATGCATGACTTGCCATTTCAGTGTGTTGAGTGGGTTGGAGTTGGAGCTTTTCTAACGTATCTTCGTCGGGACTTACAGTTGTTTTCAAGAAACACCGCACGAAGTGATTGTATGAAATTATTTAGTAAATAGAAGTGTAATATACGTTCACAGTTAGCAAAATTGACAAGTAGGGTGTGCTTAACATCAGACCTTTGGACTTCTATTAATACAGATGGTTTTATTTGTTTGACAATGCATTTTATAGATAATGATTGGCATTTGCAAAAAAAGATTATCAGCTTCTGTTTGATACCACCCCCTCATGATGACATTTCTTTGTTTGAAAAATTACAGTCTCTTGTTATGGAGTGGAAAATTGATACCAAACTTTTTAGCATTACTTTGGATAATGCGTTAGCAAACAATACCTCAGTTGAATTTTTAAGAAATCATTTATGTTTACGTGGTGCTTTGCTTTGTAATGGTGAGTTCTTTCATATTCGTTGTACTACACATATTGTTAATCTCATAGTTCAAGAAGGTCTGAAGGAGGTTGATTCTTCAGTAATTAAAATTCGAGAAGAGAAGAAAAAGAAGAAAGAGAAAAGAGAGGAAAAATAAAAAAAAAATGAAAAAGAAAAAAGAAAAAAATATATTTGTATATTTTTTCTTGATCTTCATCACCTTCGACGTACCCTAACCAAGGTTTAATCCCTCAAACCTGAAATCCTGTACTCAGCACGGGCAGCGTGAGGAGCAACGGCCTATGCGTGATTTTCTTAGCGCGATGGGAGGATACTCTTTACGGTATTTGCAACGAGCCAAATAATCCTCGTGCACGTTTTTCTTAGCGTGACGGGGCAAAAATTAAGTACTCGTGCATGCGCTTCAGTGCTTACAGGGAAAGAACTGTGTATTTTTAAACAGGTACCTCTAAAGACTCATGCATACCTCTCTTGGTGTGGTGGGATTAAAGACTACGGCCGCAATGTCACATGACACCAACCATACAAGTGTTTCTTGACGTTGTGGAAAGGTTATGACCAATGTTTAAAATTGCGTATTCGGGTATTGAGGCGTTTTTCATTCGTGAGGCGAGGTGTAAGCCTCAAGGCATGCCAGTGAGGCGAGGCGGGCCTCAACCAAATTGAGGCGCAAGCCTCATAAAAAAAACTCGAGGCATTTTTTACTGAAATTGCGCAAAGGCGGGCCTCAAGGCGAGCCTCATATTGCGCAATTTTAAACCATGCTAATGAGTACTCTTAATTTTAAAATATTTTGTTATCATTTAATTATTTTTATCTTTGATTTTTTTGGTTTTGACTGGCTAAAAACTACTGTTATAACTGATATAATGATAGATTGTTAATTACTTTATAATAAAAGACCTTAAATTTTTGTTAACCAAAAACAAATTAACTCAAGAACCCCTTTTAAAAGTCTCCACCAAGCCACCTCATCCAAGGCTAATACGAGAGTTCCCTAGTCAGATTAGACAATGTAAACTGATTGGATTTCGACCACAATGAAAAGGAGAAGACAATCTACCAAGAAAGAAAAATATGAAGCGAAAAAGGGAAAAGGCCAAAGAAGTTGAGTGAAAGGATAATACAAGAATTGAAGAAATGGTGTGTTTGACCCAACAAGACACTTCAAACACTGATGCAAGAAGCTCCAAGCAGGGCTTTACCTCCTCCCAAGCTGAGCAAAACTTTAAGTTCCGATAGGAAGACCTAGTGTAAAAGAATACAGAAAAAAGAGAAGGATATAGACACAAAAAGAACATACAGAACAAAGATAAAGAGTTTTGAAGAAGGAGATGGAAAGAAAGTGATGGTAATTTTCTGTTCTGTCGATGAGCAGAAAAGGAAAGGTCCCTTCCAGGCAAAGCTACCAAAGTCCATATATCCCAGATGGATAAATAGCTCTAAAGCTAACTACATCTAGAAGGGAACCTTTCACCTTCATATCCGGAGATGCTTCATGTCAACCCCAATCTATCTCTTCCCGTGATCCGAGGAAGCAACTCCACCATAAGTAATAAAGAAAATAGCAAGGGTGAATCCCATTGAATCAGAAGCTAATGCACTTATATTAAAACCACCAATAAGTTCTCATAAAAAAAAAATCTTACCCCATTAACAATATAATACCAATGCAAGGAATGTTCAAAGTCACAATACATGTTTTAGCCTTGAAAAAAATCAAAAAAAGCTATAATGATGTTCAACATATTGGCATGAGAAATGTTAAGCATTATTAAGAACATGAATAAATTTTAGGTATGGGTTAATTATAAAGATTGCAAATAGCAATGAGGACAATAGATCCTTTACAAATTTGAAATTCTTAAAGTAACTACTGGTTGTAATAGCAGTGCAAAGTTCACCAAAACCGTATGCAAGCACAAACTGAAATATATAGCAAATAAAATTGACCATACTTGCCAGCATCAACAAGAATGTTAAATCTTCCATTATCATTAGCATAACGAATTAGGATGCTTGTGTTGCGTCTCCTATTTTTATTTCTGGGCTCAGTTGCTTTTTGGCAGACCTGCAACAGCCAATTAGCACTGACAATCATAGAAACTAATATTTTCTATGGAATTAATTCCCTACCAAATGAAGTTGGAATAAGAAGAAAGAAACCTCATAATCGTACCATGCAGTTTTTTAAGGGATTTGTGAGGCAGCTAACTCGAGGGATGCCTTCACTGGTTCCTGTGCCTAAGAAAATAATTTCGGACTGTTTTGCGGCTTTCTTTATATCACTATCTCTAGTTTTCAAGCCTGAAATGGAGATGACAAACTTGTCTCAGACCAAAACAATAAGTAATGAAAAACGGTCTATCAAAATTGAACTTAAAAAGCATTTTTTTTATCAAAAAGCTGGTTATAATGATATTTTACTTTGCACAAGACTCGTTTGAAATGGTTTACCTAATCAAAACATTTCTTTGTTTTCAAAAGTGTCTATTGTTAAATCCTGTTTCAAAAATTTAGACTATTGTCCAACCTTCTCATCTTAAAGCCCCTTTTATCACTGAATGAAAATAATAAATAAAAAGAGTGGCTCGAGACAGTATTTGCATTTTATTATAATTTATTCGGGGTAAACAACTCATCTACAAGCGAATAAAAGTTCACAGGAGTAATACTTAGGAATAAACACATCCTTCAAAAAATCAAATGGGAAATACAAGAGAAAGATGATAGAATGAAATTAAGCTAGTAAGTAAAAGCAAGCCGCAGTAAAGAGGGTACAACATGAAATGTTTCAAATGTCATGCAATCTCTGAGTGACACTGCAGAGAAGTGGTAAGAACAGAAAGATGGACTCAAACTGATATTTGTACCAGTGGTTACTGAGGATAAGTGCAGGACACTTTTGATCTACATATGGAAGCTAAAGTTTCCGATCTTGAAGCTTAGCAAGATTTAAGAGATTTATTTTTCCCTATTCATGTAGTTTAGAATGAAAACTTGTTATAACAATCTTGAAGCAATGTAAGATGCAGCTAGATTCATATCCCGTAAATGCTAGATGCCTTCATATTTAAAGAATGGATGTTTTATTGTTTCCTGCATAATAAGTTCGATAAGATATGCGTTCCATTTATTTTATATTTCTACAATAACCATTCATATTTCCCAGACAATGACTAAGCGAAAATAACAATAATATTTCATGGGTAGTAGACTAATAATGTAATATATAACATCAAATTAATATTTCTAGTTTCGCTTAAGTAGTTGGCATCCTTCGAAGGATTAATTTTAAGAAGAAGCTTAAATTTAGATAAATTAAGTAAAAGGAGATTGAATAGGAGGTAATTTAAAAAGTTCAAACAAATATCTTCAATAAATTTATATTGATATTATTTTAAATTTAGCCAATTTAAAAAAAGAATTTTAATTAAGATGTTTTTAATAAAATTTTGTGAGGATGAGTTTAAAAAAAATTAAATTTATTTAAAGATAAGGCAATAAGCAATTAATTAACTGTTATACAACATTTATTTTAAAATAATTTTTAATTTTTAAAACTTTTACAATCTAAATTTTTGTCAAAGTATTCTCACATATCCCTTTTACAAAGTAGATCCTAGAAGACCTTTTATGGCTACTTATTTTGGAGAATATAGCAATGCTTTTTTAATTAATTTTGAAGGATGACATCCACATTTAGTATAAGATAAATATAGGTTTTAATATCTTTAAAAATTTCTATCAATGTTGACAATAATCACAAAAACATGTACTCATTCAATTATTTTGTCACATAATATTAAACTATAAAAATATTATAAAATAGAAAAGCTCACAATAAAGGCAAAGCTAATGGTTCCGTTATTTAATATCACTATTATCTTCAAAAGACAAATAAATACTTTTGTTTTTCACTGAAAATGCAATATCTATGTTGCACCGATACGGATACGATGACACTGATACAATACGATACGGATACGAGACACGTCAATTCTTAAAAATACAGGATATGGGTACAACGCAGACACGGCATTATAATTTATAAATCATACATAAAAATTAAGAAAGCAATCAAAACATAATAATTGAAATTAAAAAAAATATGAAAGGAGCATCATTTGTAGCCTTGTAGCTTATAATATCAAAATAAAAGTAAGCATTAAATGTCTAGTACAACAACAAAAGCATAAACATAAATTGTCTAGCAAATGAAGTTTCAACTATTCAATAGAAGGAATGATATGATTAACTTCTTCAGTGGGTTGTCTTTGAACTTCTATATCATCTTCAATAAATATCATAGCTTCTAATTTAGGCACATCAAGTGAAAGATTAGCAATTTCTAATATTCTCATATCATCAAGAGACTCCAATCCATCTCGGAAATGAGAGAAGCTCGCTTGCAACCACGGAAGTAAATATGACAAGTCTTCTTTTCAGATTTTTTTTTGTTTTTCAACGGACACACGTATCAGATACGCCTGTCCTTTTGAAATTAAATAGTATTTTAATTGGATACGGCAAAGCCATGTCCGACACGTATCGGTGCCGTATCGGAGGCATGTCCGTGTATCGGTGTATCGGATACAGCACGCCTTCATAAATAGGTGTATCAGTGCAATATTAATTTGTTAGGCTACAAATAGGATTTAACTAATATAATAAATTCAATAAAATGGAAGTTTTTAAATTTTATGCATGTAAAATTCTGAAGATTATTTGATGTGATAGCTATTTTATTTGCTTAAATTTAGCAAAATCATTTAAATATTTACTTCGGAAATAAAAGAGTTAGAAATTTGAGAAAATTGATCGTATTTATTTTGTTAATGGCAAACTTCATTAGCTTGATTAAACTATGCTTAATCTAATTGATCATCCCAGCTAGCGCTAAATTTAATGATTTTATAAACTAATTGAGCATAACTATTAGTATTCAAATTTAATAATAATAATAACAATATCAATTAAGAAATTAAAATGGTAATAATACTTTTATGTTCAAATTAAATTAAAATTAAACTTTAATCCAATTTTTCTTGATACATTTTAGATGAGAATGCTAAAATTTATGGGCCTTTTCAACAGAAATAAATAAATATAGAATAACTCATGCATTTGATGAGATATGTAAACAAACAAATTAAAGTAGAACCTTCTCAATTTGAACTTGAGCTTGACTCAAACAATAAAGCTTACTAGAACAGGAGCAGAAGAGTGAGATGCCATGAAATTTGACATTTTTCTCCATATCAACTTATATTATTTTCTTTTGTAAGCTTATTAACATATTTCTATGTCGCAATAGATATCTATCTATCACTCTCCTTAGCAGTCATTTGTGCATGATCTAATTTTTGACAACATTTGTGTACTTTGTATAAGTAAGCCAGTTGTAGTTCTATGTTTCAACAAATATATATACTTCTCAGTGAGCTTTCAAAAAAAATGTTATGCTTGATCTTATACTTCGACGATAAGCTGCAAATTATAAAGAAATTTGTATCATCATAAATTGGCATAAAGAATAGGCCTCTAGAAATTAATAGAATCCTGACACAGTTGAAACTTAGAATCCTCCCAGCATTATATTACGATAGCACTACGCATATAGCTAACCTTGTAGGTGGACTACGCAATAATAGTGGCTACATCGTGATGCATGTCATGGATGATGAGGTCTGCGAATTCAAGTTGGTTGAAGCCAGTAGACGCACATGGACTAGGCGCAAAGAAATTGAAAAACTACATATCCACACAAACAAATGAAGCGGGATATTCTTCTCATATCCATTTCGATAAACCACAACCATCTACCTAAGTATAAAAGTTCCTCTTAACTAGAAATTCTTATAGACTTTAAATTTACCCAAAAACCTTCAAAAGACTTAGTCATCCAAACTTGTCATTTTTTGTAGGCCTATCCTATTGTTGGCGAATTCCTTAGTTGTCAGCCGCTCAAGCATAGCAAGCAACGGATGATTGATTTTACCTTCCCATACTACTTTCAAGAAACTCACTCATTTAGGCTCAACATCAGTGATGGTCAAACTATTTCGGAGCATCGTGTGGTCAATTTAGAGGTGTATCATAGTGTAAGCATGGGAGATAATAGAGAATGACATTTGGGAGCGGGAAGTACTGTAACGTGCATTGAAGGGATAGTCAATTATCAATAATGTCAAATATAGAAAGACATCCTAGAACAAATAAAGACTAATAGTCGATTGCATAAAGTACAACCACCCATCACGGCCATGCTAGTGGTGGAGCCTTCATCCTTCTAGAAGCCAGCGCATTGGCAAAATATGAAAGATATCATTGCTTGCTGATCAGCATATGTGCATACACCCAGTAATGTCGTCCAATCATTACAACTACACATCAAAGACTATCTGTTACTACATTATGGTTGTGCATCATCAACAATTTAATCTAAAACAAAGGGAGATCATTGTACGAATTGAGTCAAAATTTGACATCAAAGTCACGTACATCAACGCCTAGGATTCATGCAGAAAAACAATAAAACAATGTTTGGCAGTATGAGGAATTATACTACTTATTATACCCTTAGATGGAATAAATGCAACTCGCAATACCGAGCACAATGTACAGTAAACTAAGCCATAATACTAGTTTTAAAGGAATCTTCTAGTCATTTAGTCTAGGCATATGTGGGTGATGATGCTACTGAGCCATGCTAAGCTTGACTTGTTAACGGCGAATGGCGCACCATGGCGCAAAGGTCCTATTTGAGCTACGGCGCATAGCGCACGGCGCGGCGCACGCCATTTTGAACATGGCACAAATTATAAAAGAATTATAAAATAATAAGCATGAATATGAAATATCATTAAATTGAAAGACAAACTATCATAATAATAAGCAAACAAAGAAAATACAAATAAATAAAAATACAACATAATTTCAAATCCAATAAGTAGTCAATCTTTATACAACTAAAATATATTTAAATGAAAGTAAATAGCATTAAGAAGATAATAATATGCAATCTAACATTTATCTTAATACTTTTAATATATTTAAAAATTAGAAAATATATTATCTTAAAAAAAATATAAAAAATATTTATAATTACATTAAAAAATTTTTAAAACAAATGGCGCGCGCTATTTTGCGCCGTGGCCATGCGCCATGGCGCGCTGTGGCGCAAATTGCACGCGCTATTTTGAACGTTTGCGCTGCGCCATACACATGGCGCCGTAGGTGCGCCGGGCCGCGCCGTGCGCCATGGCGTGCGCTATTTTGCGCCATTGATATCTATGAATGGAACT